CTGTTATTCTGCTTGGCAAAAGCCAAGCAGAAATAGTAAAGGAATGACATAAATAGCTTATTAAATATATAGTGACCCAATCCCCAAGTCCTGACAAAAGCAGCTCATGCACACACCATTTAACACATTTGGAGAGAATGCTGGTTATAATTTTGGGTATTGTTGCTACACAGAAAGTAGAATGTCTAAAGAGTATTAAGAATAAAATATTCCTGGCATTTGGGACTAGATAGACCTTAATAGTAGGGCTATGCGAAACAGCACTGTTCCGCTTCAAATTCTGTTTCGTTTAGTTTCGAAAGCACTGTTCCATTTCATTTTGTCAAAACTGTTTTACTGTTTCGACACTGTTTTGATGTTTCACCCATAGGCTATAATGGGGAATCATGAAAATGCCTAGAACTTTGTCGATTCTTGCCTGGTTCAGATGAAACTTGCAGGGATTTCATGCTCTTCTGAGAGCATGAAGCCTGTCAAGATCCAAGGAGATGGGTGCAGAGGTTTCTGGGAGACTGCACCTCAAGATGTTAACAAGCAAAACTCCTTTCAGTTGCTGGCAGTGGCAGCCTCCTATCTTCTGGACCACAGATCTGGGGGCTCGCACCCCTGGGAGGGCTGCAGGGCTGTGCCAGACTCCTCCAGGGGCTGCGGGCCTCTGATCTGCCTGACGGATGACAGGAGGCTGGTTCTGCTGCCTGGGGTCAGCGGCAGCACCAATCTTCCCAGCACCGGTCCCAGGCAGCAGCAGCAGCTTCCTGTGATCTGGTGCAGCCTGTGCCAAGTGCCAGGAAGACTGGTGCTGCTACTGGCCCCAGCTGGCAGCAAACAGCATGCTGTCATCCGGCACAGAGATCTAGGGGCCTGCACACCCAGGAGGGTGGGGGCTGTGCCAGAATCCTGGAGGCGCAGCCCCCAGATCTGCACTGGATGACAGGAGGCTGCTGAAGCCGAGTAAGCCCGGCTTCGAAACTTAAAATGTTTCAAAACTTTCGAAACATTTAGAGTGCCCTTGTTTCATTTCAAAGCTGTTTCAAAGGCTTTGTTTCATTTCAATTTTGCTGTTTCGAGCTCGAAACACATCAAAACAGCTTTGAAATGAAATACTGAGTGAAATTTTGCATAGCCCTACTTAGTATGTCCATCTGTCTACCTGTGATGCTATATCACTGTAGCAACGTGCTATGGCAATGTACCGTCTGTGGGCAGAAATCATGATGCTGCAGCTATGTTGCTGTAGCAACACACTCCCTTATTATAGCACTTCACTATGGCAATGTAGTGCCTAAAAATGACCATGTGCACAGCACAGTATGGGCTGTTACTGTGCCATCTTTTAGTACTTCCAAAAGGAAGTACTAAATGATGGTGCCGTAACAATAGCACCATAGCGGCGCAAATAGGTGCGCCCTGTATGTCTTAAAATTCCTTAGTCTTAAAGGTAAAACAGTTGGGCAGAGTGACTAAGAATGCTAGTTGTGGATCAGGATAGCACTATAGAAGCAAAACAAAACACACCAGACGATAAAGCCAACACATTTAACCATTTCTTTGCCTCCATCTTCCTAAGCAGGGACTGGAACAGCCACCCCCTCGCTGGGCCCCCCTCAGGCCCCAGGGGAGGCACACCTGGGCCAAGGGTTAGTGAGGAACTAGTTAGGGAGCTTCTGGAGGGACTGGACGTATTCAAGTCAGCTGGTCCAGACGATCTCCACCCTAGAGTACTGAAGGAATTGGCTGAGGTCATTGTAGGACCCCGGTGCAGCTTTACGAGCACTCGTGGTTATCTGGTGTGGTGCCAGAGGACTGGAAGAGGGCCAGCGTGGTTCCCATCTTCAAAAAGGGGAAGAAGGAGGACCCGGGAAACTATAGGCCAGTTAGTCTTACTTCGATCCTAGACAAGCTGTTCGAGAAAATTATACTGGCACACATCCATGAGGGGCCAGCAGGGGATTTCATGCTTAGGGGCAACCAACACGGGTTCATCAGTGGCAGGTCCTGTCAGACCAACCTGGTGGCCTTCTATGATCAAATAACCAAATCATTAGATGCAGGGGTAGCAGTGGACATAGTCTTCCTGGACTTTCGGAAGGCCTTCGACACTGTCTCTCACCCTGTTCTCATTAAGAAACTGGGGGACTGTGGTGTCGACACCCACACAGTCAATTGGGTCGCCAACTGGCTGGAGGGCTGCACCCAAAGAGTGGTGGTGGATGGGTCATTTTCGACCTGGAGGGATGTGGGCAGCAGGGTTATGCAGGGCTCCATCCTTGGGCCCGCACTGTTCAACATCTTCATCAGCGACTGGGACAAGGGGGTAAAAAGCACCCTGTTCAAATTTGCTGATGACACTAAGATGTGGGGGGATGTAGGCACTTTAGAAGGGAGCAATAGGCTACAGTCGGACCTAGACAGGTTACAAGGGTGGGCGGATGAGAACAGGATGGGATTCAACACTGACAAGTGCAAAGTGATGCACCTGGGGAGGAATAACTGGCACCATACCTACAGGTTGGGGAACTCCCTTCTTGTCAGTACAGAGGCAGAAAAGGATCTTGGAGTCATCATTGACTCCAAGATGAACATGGGTCAGCAGTGCGGGGAAGCAGTCAAGAAGGCCAACCACACCTTGTCATGCATCCACAGATGCATCTCAAGCAGGTCCAGGGAGGTGATCCTCCCCCTCTATGCAGCACTGGTCAGGCCTCAGCTGGAGTACTGCGTCCAGTTCTGGGCGCCGCACTTCAAGAGGCATGTGGACAACACGGAGAGGGTCCAGAGGCGGGCCACTCGCATGATCGGGGGTAGCAGGGCCAGCCTTATGGTTGGCCTTCCTGACCGCTTCCCCACACTGTCGGCCCATGTTCACTTTGGCATCAATAATGATCCCAAGATCCTTTTCTCCCTCTGCGCTAACGAGAAGGGAGTTCCACAGCCTGTAGGTATGCTGCTGGTTCTTCCTCCCCAGGTGCAGCACCTTGCGCTTGTCAGTGTGAGGACAATCCTAGGCCTGTCCTCTAGCATATCTGCTACAAGTTTGGTGTCATTTGCAGACTTGCTGAGAGTGCTCTCTGTCCCATCTTCCAGATCGTTCATGAAGATAATGAACAAAACTGGCCCCAAGACCAACCCATGGGCCACTCCACTTGATACTGGCAGCCAGCTAGAAATTGAGCTATTGATAGACTTTCTAAGCTATCTTACTAAGCTAGACTTTCTGAGCCTGGTGATTCAACCAGTTTCCTATCCACTTTACAATCCATTCATCCAACTTGTAATTCCTGAGCTTGTTTGCCATAATATTGTGGGAAACTGTATTAAAAGCCTTGTTAAAGTCAAGGTATATCATGTCTGCTGATCTCCTGGTGTCCATACAGCTAGTCCTCTCATCATAGAAAGCAATCAAGTTGGTCAGGCGTGGCTTGCCCTTGATGAATTCATGCTGACTGTTCCTAATCACCTTCTCCACCAAGTTCCTTGAGGACCTGCTCCATTTTTTCCAGGGACTGAGGTGAGGCTGATTGGTCTGTAGCTCTTTAGATCCACCTTTCCTTTCTTAAAGATGAGCATTCTGTTTGCCCTTTTCCATTCACCTGGGACCTCTCCCAGTTGTCATGAGTTTTCAAAGATAATGGCCAGCAGCTCTGCTGTCACATCAACCTACTCCTTTAGCACCTTCAGGTGCTTCACATCCAGTCCCATGGACTTGGTACATGTCCAGCTTTACTCAGTAGTTCCTCACTTGTTCTTTTGCCACTGTCAACTGCTCATCTCCTCCCCAAACCGCTGCCAGGTGCAGTAGTCTGGGAGCTGACCTTGCCTGTGAAGACTGAGGTGAAAAAGGCATCGAGTACTTCAGCCTTTTCTGCATCATCTGTCTCTAGGTTGCCTCCCCCGTTCAGTAACGGACCCACACTTTTCCTGATCTTCCTCTTTTTACCCTTCTTGTTACTCTTCATGTCCCTTGCTAGCTGCAACTCCAGTTGTGCTCCAGTTGGTCTATCTGATTTCATCCCTGCATATTCGAGCAATACTCATACACTTCCCTAGTCATTTGTCCAAGTTTCCACTTCTTATAAGTAAGCTTCCTTTCTGTGTTTTAGCTCACTGAAGAGTTCCCTGCTAAGCTAAGCCTAACACCTATTAGTATTTGTTAGTATATCAGAAGCCTAACAACTAAGTATTTGGCAGCTATTTTGGCAAATTAGACTTTGAAGGAGGCTAATGGGGAGACAGCTCCTTGTAAGCATGAAAGCCATCATAAAATAAAGCACAGGTGCTATTTGAAAACTGATCAGATCGGAAATGAAGACTGTCATTGTAGGCTATTGGTGGTAGGTAGACCTTTGATTACTGAATGAGAGATGGGCAGAGGACAAGCTGTGAAGGGCTGTGAAAGTGTGAAGACAAGTGATTTTATATTTGTGATAGAGAAGCTAGAGCCAGTGGAGCATGGAGTGATATGGTCCAAGTGATGGACTAAATCAAGTTATCATTCCAGCAACATTCTGGGTAGATATAAGAGGAGCAGGATATTCTACAATAATTGTGATGCAAGATAGGGACATGGTTGAATATTTTAATTCTGAGGATTTAGAGGAAAGGCTTTATCTTAGACACGTTGTGTGTAAAGAATCTCCAGTGTAAGGTAGGAGACAGCCTATGGGCCTGAATAGCCAGCAGTATGGTACTTCAGGAATTTGAGTGTATTTTTTCTCTCCTTTTTTCTATTAAGGAACCTCATTAATCACATTTTTCATCTATTTGTTCTATACAACAAATAATTATATTTTAATTTATTTTAAGCCCTCAGTTTAAAGCACTTCATTATTTTCTAAAAGACTGATATTTAGTATACGATTAAAGATCTTTCTCACTACAGTGATTTTGCTTTTGTATTATTGAGACTGATCGATTTCTCTGTATTTTTGCAACACTGTTTTTACTACATTGATCTCCTCATTTACAGTTGTCACTAAGTGTGACTCACTTTTTTTCTCTAGATCTACAGCATGACACTTAGACTATCTGCCTTATTTGAAAATCACATGAAGAACATTATCGCTGAATACAAGTCTGCAGTGCAGCATCAGAAGAGAAAGCGGCCACGATACCGAAAACGACTAAGAAGCAGTAGTAGTTCACCATCTAGCAGCAGAGCATCCAGGTAACTTAATGAAAGCAAGGTTCACTGTCTACAGATTTCAGAAATCTTTATTTTACTGGGAAATAGACCTAACAAGTCAATAACATATATAGACCGATTTGTACTGCAGTCTCTTTTGTAGGTGGAAAACCTTGAATTCAAATCCCACACTAGCACTTATTTCGTTTTTGTTTTCTGTTTTGCATTACTGTCAGGAGTCCTATACATTCAGAAGCACTATCTCTAGAAAGAATGCAAAATCAACATATTTTCTGTCTGCATGTGATGGCTGTTGACACTGGGTTGCAAATTCCCTTATGTTTTGAAACATGCAAATCAAGCCTTGTCATGATCAATATTTCCTTGTCACTTTTTATGTAATTAGGTTTCAGATTTTAAGATGCACCTAGATCCATAGGCTTGAAGGTAACAAGGGGCCATTAGATCATCTGACGTTTTATATAACAGAGGCTGTGGGATTTCACCCAGTTAGCTGTTTGTCTAGCCCAATAACTTGAGTATGTGACTAAAGCAAATCTTTCAGAAACTCTTCTAGTGTTCACTGTTATGTTGTCTAGTGTTGCCTGAGTGCAGTGGATGATCTTCTTGTCTTCATAATCAGTGTGGTGTCAGCATTTACCTGAAGCAATACCTTCAGTTTAAAGTTGGATGAAACCATGTTAAGTAGCAAAGCAAATTGAACATTCCTTTTAAGAAGCACTAAGATAAAACTTGTTCTTGAAAAGTTGTATTCCTTCAAGTTCAATCATGTTTTTACTTTACTGTGCTACTACAATTTGATAGAGAATCAAGACTACCTGTGTTGCAGGTTTAAATCTCACTCCTACCACTGCAAATTAGGACAATCATTGTTAAAAAAAAATGTTTTTTGGTTAACAATTTTAACTCTGTGGGGATGTTTCATGTGTTCAGCCCTAAAGGGAAGCAGAAACAAATGAAGATGCAGCCTAAAACCAACCAGAATACCTCACTGCCTTTGACTAGGACTAGTTCATCAGTTTCATCTCATGGTAAGTGTAATAATAATAATAATTTTTTAAAAAGTTAACATATGGCAGCACCCAAGGAAAAGCACAAGTGCCTCCTTGTAATTGCCAAGTGATGAAAAGACTGAGACGCTTAGTGTGTACATGTGCAGGGAGACTGCTCTGGCACTCTGCAATTACAATGTGTTGGAGTAGACTCGATTTTAATCAAGTCGACTAGAGCATGCTAATTAGTGCACTACATTCAGCCTCTGCACCTTGTGCATCACTGTCCCCTTGCTTCAAAATGGTGGCAGGGGTGCTTTTAATAAAGCTCATTCAAGCTGTAGTTAGTCTCTCTGCCACCATTTTGAAGCACGGGGTGCTGATACATGAGACACTGTGGATGCTTTTATTAGAGCGGTTCTTGGAGCCAGTCTTATTAAAGCCCCCCTCCACCTCCAGATCATATGTAAAAATGCCCTTAGTGCTGAGCTTAAACAAAAATCTTGTATGTATCTGTCTCAGGCTTGAATCTGACTGCTGTTCAGTCACATACATGAGGTTTACATAGATTAGGCACAAACTAAAGATGTGGACACACACAACAATCAAATTGTTCCCAAATATCAGTTTTTTGGGAACAGGGCCACAATTTAGGGAAGTGTGGCTCTGACACCAGGGGTAGGAGTGAGCACCCAGCCCAGCAGGCCTCAGACTAAACAAGTGGAGTGAAAGGAGTGCTTGCATCCATGTTTTGCAAGTCCCAGCAGGTGGGTGATCTAGGGACCTTGTCACTTTCCCTTGTTTCCTAAGCTTAAGTTCAGTAAGCTTCAGTAGTCTGCAAAAGACCAGTTTTCAGTGTGCTTGCCTGACTTGGATAGGGGAGGGACAAAGTGCTTGGGCCCCATGTATTTTGGCTCCGAGGTGCTGGGGTGTATGATGAGGGGGCTATGGTTGAGTATGGACTGAGGTCAGAGCTGGTTGTTAGAAAAATAGCTTTTATTGAACAAGCCATGCAAGGGTGCTCAGTGATCAAAAGTAATAACAAAGGGTGCTTGTACACGTGACAAGGGTTTAGTGCCCTAAATTGAAACCATGGGTTTTTAAATGTGACGATTTAAAAACCCACTGTTTCAGTTTAGGGGCTTCCATGTTACAGTGAGGGGCCCAATCCTTTTTCTTTTTTTTTCTTTTCACAGAGCCTGCCCACGTCTCTTGCAGCCAGGGGCTGAGCTGCTGGCAGGTTGATGGCCTTTGAGTTGCAGGGGGTCCCAGTCATTCCTTCCATGGGGTGGCACACCCTGAGGCTGCCCAGGTGGGCTGCTAGCAGGTGGGTGCAGCCTCCAAGCTGGGGCAGCACTTGCACACTAGCAGCCTATGTGGTTAGCCACAAAGAGCGGCATCACTGTGAAGGGAAGGACTGGGGTCTCCTGCAGCTCAGGGCCCACAGGCAGCTCACTCCCAGGCCACGGCAGAAGCAGGCAAACTCTAGGTTAAAAAAGGGATTAGGCCCCTCATTGCTTTTTTTCATTTCAGCAGAGCCTGCCCATGCAAGCTGACACAGCACAGGGAGCCAACTTGGGGAAGAGTTGGATCTGATGGGTGCTGCCTGCAAGTTAAGGCAGCACCCGTGCAGCTAGCACCCTGCCTGGGTGGCCCTGGGGGGTGCCACAGCTGCGGAGGGAAGGACCAGGACCCCTACCACTCAGAAAGTGTGTGGTGAGGGGCCTGATCCTTCTCCCCCTCCCTCCCCCCACAGAGCCTGCCCACCTCTCCTGCAGCTAGGGGGTGAGCTGCTGGTGGGCCCTGAGCTGCAAGGGGCCCCAGTCCTTCCCTCCACAGTGGCGATGCCCCCTAGGGCCTCCCAGCTGCATTATAGTTTCATAGTTTGTAGGGTCGGAAGGGTCCTGAGCAGATCATCAAGTCCAACCCCCTGCCATGGCAGAAAAGAGTACTGGGGTCAAATGACCCCAGCAAGGTGTTTGTCTAGCCTTGTCTTAAAGACCCCCCAGGGTAGGAACCAGCACCGCTTTGCTTGGAAGTTGGTTCCAGATCCTAGCTGCCCTGACAGCAAAGTAGCACCTCCTGATGTCTAATCTGAATCTACCCTCTGCCAGCTTGTGAATGATATTTCTAGTCACCCCTGGTAGCGCCCGGGGGAACAGGGACTCCCCCAGTGCCTGCTGTTCCCCTCTGACTAGCTTGTAACAGGCCACTAGATCCCCCCTCAGCCTTCTCTTGTGGAGGCTGAACAGATTCAGGTCTCTGAGCCTCTCCACATAGGGCCTGTCCTGCTGCCCCCGATCATGCGAGTGGCCCTCCTCTGGACCATTTCCATGTTGTCCACATCCCTCTTGAAGTGCAGCGCCTAGAACTGGATGTAGTACTCCAGCTGCGGCCTGACCAGTGTCGCAGGGGGAGTATCACTTCCTTGGACCTGCTTGAGATGCATCTGTGGATGCATGACAAGGTGTGGTTGGCCTTCCTTACTGCATCCCCATAGTGCCGGCCCATGTTGATCTTGGCATCAATGATGACTCCAAGATCCTTTTCTGCCTCTGCACTGATGAGAAGGGAGTTCCCCAGCGTGTAGGTATGGTGCTGGTTCTTCCTCCCCAGGTGCATCACTTTGCACTTGTCAGTGTTGAATCCCATCATATTTTCATCCATCCACCCCTGTAACCTGTCTAGGTCTGATTGCACCCTATTCCTCTCTTCTAGCGTTCCCACATCCTCCCACATCTTAGTGTCATCAGTAAATTTGAACAGGGTGCTTTTTACTCCCTCGTCCAAGTCACTGACGAAGATGTTGAACAGTGCGGGCCAGAGGACTGAGCCCTGGGGGACCCCACTGCCCACATCCCTCCAAATCGAAAATGACCCATCCACCACCACTCTTTGGGTGCGGCCCTCCAACCAGTTAGCAACCCATTTGGTTGTGTAGGTGTCTACACCACAGTCCCCCATTTTTTTAATGAGGATGGGGTGAGAGACAGTGTTGAAGTGTTGATAATGTGCAGGTGCTGTCCCAGCTTAGAGGCAGTACCCGGCCAGATCCGACTGTTCCCCTAGCCTGAGCTGGGCCAGCACCTGCTCACTAGCAGCCCACACAGGGGGTGCCACCACTGCAGAAGAAAGAACCAGGGCCCACTGCAGCTCAGGGCTGCTCAGCCCACTGGCAGCTTGCCCCCTGGCCATGGGAGACACAGGCAGGTTCTGCACTTGTACAGCATGACACAATTAAACCACAAAATGGCCAATTTTTTGTCTCGCGTACAAGCACCCAAAAGGAAAATGAAGGAGCAGTAGAGTTCTGGCTACATACCAGAGCAGCCAGTTTTAGCAGTGTTGGGGGGGAGGGGGTGCAGAGGAGCCAAGGCAGCATGGGATGCCTGGAAGAGTGACAGCACGCCTGTCACAGAAGGCTTGGTGTCTGCACAGAACACTGAACTGGTTCCCAGTGAATCAGTTTAATATAATATATATTAAACATTTTCCATGTTCACTTTTGAACTGTTCCAAGCGTGTTTAAACCAATTTAACAGGTGTGTATTTCTGTCCACTTAGGGCTCCTATACACGTGTGTGGAGCCTGGTCCGACGCACTGGAAATCCAGCGCATTGCCGAGTCTGCTGGAGCACAGAAATAGACGCACTCCAACAGCCTTGTGCATCACGTGGGTCAGTGTCACTGCGCATCTCTGTGCTGAAAAAATAACAGCAGTGTGATTTGAAATAAAACACATTCAATGAGCTTTAGTCCAAAGTGCTGCCACCACCATTTTTTTTCAGCACGGGGATGCATGGTGACGCTGATGCATGGGTGCTTTTAATTAGCGTGGCTCACTAATTAAAGCACCTGGCACCATGTCCCACCGCACATTTAAAAATGCCCTTAGGGTTTACCATTCTAAGTGTTATATGTGTCCATGCCCTAAGGGTCCCTAAGTTCCTAGGAAGTTACTCATGGAGCTTTCAGAGCAAAATAGATTTGTTTCGTCTCTTGTGTTAATAAAGCCTAGGACTGAGCTTCTTTGTACATCTGAAATCTTCTTGTTAGCAGTGTCCTGGCACTACCACTCTGGCAAGAGAGATGAGGGAGATTGCTTTTTGCTGTTGCTATTGGTTTGTGATGCTGTGCTTTTAAGTTTCAGATACTACAGAGGAACCTCTGGGTCCAGCTGTTGGCGAGAGAGAGGGCCAGCCCTCTTCCTCTGGCTCAAATGCACAGAACCGAAGTGGAAACAATGTTGATCCAGGGAAAAACAGGCCTGTCAGGAGTAAAGCCACACCAGTTAAGCAAGGTGATAAATTTCTAAGACAAAAATATTATTTTCTTTTCTTTGGATGTCTTGTTTTCTTAAAAGAAAATGGTTCTTGTATCTCAACTGTAGGTGTGATCTTTCTGTCTAGGTGCAGTATTAAACTTCTGTCCCTGAAATGTGGCAAAGTGAAATAAGCTTGTTCTTACATTCATGAAAACTGTAGTTTAAATTATGGGATAAATATGCTCCAAAGATTCATGACTCTCCTTAAAGTTTTGCGTGATGGAAAGAGTTTAACTCTCAGAGAAATGTGGGGGAACAATAGCATTTCCAAAAGGATGCTAAAAAATAGCAGATGTTTTACTCAACATTTTGAAACTGAATGGAAATTTTTTTTAAAGTATTTTTAAAGTTGCTATTTGTGAGAGACAAAATTAAGTGGATGTGGCAAGGAACATAAATACACTGGACGAATCATGTGTATTGTTAAGTAATATTTCACAAGAGCCAGGCTCTTCACTGAGGTAAGGGTGGAATAGTATACATCTGGGGAAACTGTGACCGTTTTATTACAGGGTCAGATACCTGCGTTTATCATATGACTGTTTTGTAAACAGAAGGATGTTTTTTGTTGTCTAGTAGGTCTTCTCTTCCAGAGGATAAACATTGGTTTTTAACTCTTGCAAACAATGCATTGTTAACTGTGAAAAGAAAAGGGTTTTTAGTCCTAAATGAGCACCCACATAACTTTAGTCCCTAGCAATCTTTTTCTTTCAATTGGACTATCCACTTGCGTGCTTAAAATTGTGTGTGCTGAAGCATTAAGAACAGATGTTTAGAGCTGATGACATAAACTGTATAGGACAAAGATGCAGTTTAATTGAAAATATTTCTGAAGTTTGTAAAATATATATTCTTGATCATTTCCCTTTCTGACTTGACTCTATTACTATAGTGTTTAACAGTTCATCTGGTTATTTGTGTTAATTTAGATCTCTCCTCTGATGGACCACTTACAAATGGTGATGGCAGAGAGCCTCGGGTAGGAGTTAAGAGAAAATTAATAAGTGCATCGGAAGAGGATGAGCATCTAGAGGAGGAGGAAGCAGACAAGAAGAGAGAATTGAAAGAAAAATCTGGCTTATCTTCATCAGGAAGTGGGGAGTCGGAATCCAGTTCAAGTTCTGAAAGTAGATGCGGCTCCGACTCAGACTCTGAATCAACATCTAGGACAGATCAGGATTATATTGATGGAGACCATGACTATAGCAAAGTTGTACAAACTAAACCCAAAAGAAAAATGAAGAGAAAAATTGCCAATGGGAAAAGAAATTGGCAGGGCAGAGGAACAGGAAGGAGAGGTAGATGGGGCAGATGGGGTAGATGGAGCAGAGGGGGAAGAGGTGGGAGAGGAGGAAGAGGCTGTGGCAGAGGAAGAGGAGGAGGCAGGGGAGGACGAAGAGGCCGAGGAGGTAGAGGAGCCTCCCGAGGAGCTGCCAGAGCCAAACGTGCACGAATTGCTGATGATGAATTTGAAAATCTATTTGGAGGACAATTTGGTGAAAATATGTTTGGAGGGCGATTCAGTAGACCACCCCGAATTAAAACAAGGAACGAGGGCAGGAGAACTGTATTATATAACGACGATTCTGACAATGACAATTTTGCGCACACCGAGGATCCTCTGAACCTTGGTACTTCCAGGTCAGGTAGGGTGCGGAAAATGACAGAAAAAGCCAGGGTCAGCCATCTTATGGGATGGAATTATTAACAGATGAAAACTTTGGAACAATTTTAAAAGAACTTCAATGGCCTTCTACTGCAGGGATTTTATCAGAACATCTACCAAGCAAGTTGTGGGGGGACTCCACTCACTTATCACAGTGGTGCTTTTCCATTATGTCAGTATGCATTTGTTTTAAGACTTCAGATCGCCACACTTCATTGGTCAAAATAAGCCTTATTCATTAGGCCTTAAATTACAGAATTTCTTCCCCACACTACAACTCCATTACATTAAAGGAGCTTCCAGCTTCTCAATAACAGCATGACATTTTGAATTATGATTATGAAATCTCTCCCTTGTTTTGTTTTTGTATTATAGATATAGCACCTTCTTACAGAGTTTTTATATGGTTTCTGCCATAAATCCTTATACACAGTAATAATTATAACTTTTGCACAATACACCAATCCTAAAGGCAGCTATAAAATGTTTACAGTTTCTATATTGTAAGAAGGATCTGGATTATTTTAAACTTCCCAGGCCAAACTTTCATGAATTGTGCTGAACTGAAGTATGCTTATACTACAGTTATAGGGGTCCTGATCTGGTCTTTATTGGTTCTTCATTCATGTAACAAGTGAGAAAGGGTTGGTGCCTTGTAAATATGTAGCAAACCTTTGATGTGGTGTGTCCTCATGTGTGCATTAACTTTATTAAAAAGAGAATACTTGAGAAGTATCTAGACAAAAGGTGCCAAATGCAAAAGTTACTTGCATCTATTTTCTTTTTGTCCTCTCATATTTTTATAGCATTAATAGAGATTGTGCAGCTAAGGGGTAACTTCAGCATTTGAAAGGTTTCTCCTCTTCAAAGCATTATGTGATTTTTAATAGTAGCTCAGCTACCTCTATTCACAACTACTGGAAACCTAAAAGAAAATAGATGCTATTATGCAGTACTTATTTGAAGAAGAGGTAAGAGGGAGTATAGCAGGGATGGAATTGCTTATTAATGTTGGAAGTAACCAGTATTTCATGATACTGAAACAAACATTAATAATTTTCAAAGTTTTCACAACTCTCAGAAGCTTGGAGTAGTTGGTCATTTCATCTGTAAAGATAGCCCAACAGTCTCCCTCACAGTTTCTGCTACTGTTTATTCAATGCAAATCTGTGTTTCATTTCAGTACGATCTTTGACAGTTTTAAGAAGCATAAACTGAGCTATGGTGTGTCTGCTGGTTGCTCTTATTTTGTATCATTAGTGATAAGTTTTCATTCTTATTGTTGAAGCGGATTCTTGTATCTCAAGCTTCCAGAAAATAATTCATGTTTGCACTGTATTCTTACCTTTCATTATACTGAAAAATAATAATTTAAAGATGGAGGTTGTGGTGGTAGAAATAATGTAGTATCACAATACAGTATGATGTTATGAGGGATATTTTAAGTTTATATGATCACTTTGTAGTCTGGCTCCTTAGAGTCTGGCAGAAAGATATGTGGGGCTTTCTATCTTTGTTCTAAATTATACTTAACTGGCCTCTGACTTGAGCGGCATAGAGATAGCCAATGAAGAGAGAGGAAACTGGAAAATCAGAATAAATTATGGGTTAGAATTTTGAAGTGAGGTTTCTTGACCCAGTGACTCTAATTTGTTCTTCAATGCACAGAGTCTGTCGCTTGGTCAAGAATTCTGGAAAAATTCTGGGAGGGGGAAGATGAAGCCTAATATACTCTCTCACACCAATGAATTTTGTTTTAACCTTCTTTCTGTACTGTAATATACATTATCTGGCTCATCTCTTTCTAATATTTCTAGTTGGTTGCAAGATAACTCCAAAAAATACTGAGGGGTCAGAACTTGGATGAGAGAGAATATTTTAAATAGTTCATGGCGTGAATCTAAACTTATCGTACAGTAAAAATTCCTCAAACTTTTTTTATTAATCAATTACTGTTCTGTATAAACCAAAATCTATTTCTGGTCATGATTTCAAATTCTCCAGTTTAACAAAGAAATGGATACCTAAGCTCTCCAAGCTCTGTAATGGGCTTTAGAGTACAAATGTCTGTCCAGTCTGCTCGTGTATTTAGAAGAAACCTTCTTTTCTAGAGTTATTGCTCTTCCTACTTATGGTGACCACGAAACAAGTGAATACATCAGTTCATAAAAATGATCATACACCTTTTACATTAGTTCTGTTCAACTAATATAAATGCTATGATTCCTATTCTAAAGCCTGAAATCTTGAAATGCAGAAAAAATGCTGTTTATACATTTCTGCCTGGCTGAAGCTCCACTTATTAATTTATTGGGGGGGGGGAGAGATAAAATAATGGATTCCTGAGAAAACATA